ATCCATCTCGGTATTGATCATGGGAGATGTGTTCTGACTGAAGAAGCCAGGCGTATCCAGCGGGGGGGTGCTGAGATCAGTGAAAGTCGTCGATGGGGGAGCCGAAGCGTCGAAGAACAGGTCCTTCGGCGAGACGGTGCCCGGAGGGGCCACCTCACCCATCGGGCTGAAGAACGAAGTGTTGATCTGGGGCGAAAGCATGTTGGACTCTGGGGAGCTGAGATCGTCCCCAAAGCGGTTGGACTGGAGATCAAAAAGCTCAGGGAAATCTAGGACTGTCTTAGCACCGTATACATAAGCGTGCACTGCCCAAGGGACAGGCTTACCTTGAGCGATGTTCGGGGTAGACATGATGCGGCGATGCTTCAGATATGAAGCGTATTTTCTCTTCAACAAGTTTTGATTGTGCTGATTCACAAAGGCGGAATAATTGACCGTCTTGTCGTTAAATAGGGGGACGGGTGGGCGGTTAGAATGAGCAGTGTTGTTCACTGCAGGAGTAGAATTCGAAGCGGCAGGTGTTGCGAACCGACGCGCAAAATGCTTTCGCAGAGAGGGGTGAGACCAAGAAGACGGAGACGAGGAATATCCGGAAGATTGAGCGGCTAATCTGGCCGAAAGAGGAACCTGGGCAGGCGAGCCTGGAAGCTGCTGATGCAAAGCTGAAGAGTGTCGTCTAACAGGATACCCTGGTTGGACCAGAGAAGGTTGATATGCGGATAATCTAGGGGCAGAATTGATCGGTGCTTGAGCACGCGAGTCCCTGGGTTGCGGCGGGGGACACGGAGCGGGAAAGAGCACAAAGTCCTGCGGAAGGGGACTGGGATTGTTGTTGCTGTTGTTGTTGTCGCTGGGAATCGAATTCACTGGAGCCGATGGCTGTTGAGGCGGGGGCGTGGGAAGCCATGATTGCTGTTGGTAGTCCGTGGTGAACGACGTAATGTCGAACGGGAAAGCGTTGTTTGGAGAACTTGAGCTACGCAAAGCGATGCTAAAGTTCAGAGGTCCTGGAACAGGAGACTCTGAGGGGGTGGAAGAGGAGAGATTAGAAAAAGACGAGGTCCGAAGAGGATCTATGGTGTCTGTCTCGTACGAGAAAGACGTAGCTGGTGCGGGGGAGGCGTTTAGCAGGCCATTTTGAAAGCACGGAGAATCAGACGCGGTATAAGTATAATGCTGTATGGTGACGAGATGGGATAAATGAATAGAGAGATGTGTGGAGTGGAAGAAAAGATGAAGTGGGAGAGAAAGAAAAAGGAGGGAGAAAAGAAGCGCCAGGCAGCGACGGGAAGCCAGGCACTTCTTAACTGTTTGTGTGTGCGGTCTTGCCCGGATCTCGCCGCCAATCACCGTTGACCGGACCCCCGCCCAGTGCCCTAGCCTGATTGGGCATAGTCAATCTTACGCGGTCAGCAGGTGTGAGTCATAGGGCCAGCAAAGCCGACGATTGGCTGCCAGACCCAATAAAGTGGGGTTTGCAGGAGCCCCAGGCATTCCCGTGCCTGGTGCAGCGAGTCTCAATTGTCCTCTTCTACAGTGTAGCACCAGGCAGGTACGTGGGCTTTCCTCCATTCAGCCCGCAACGGAAATGTCACTCGCAGGTCACTGGCCCAGCAGCAGCAGGCCCCCCTCGACCTTGGATTCCTGGCCCTTCTTCGACTCCTTCATTCAACTCCACTACGTACTACTGAAGGAGTGTGGGAATTAAAAAAAAAAAGAAAAAAATAGGAAAAGCCCGCGCGACTTCTGTGGGTGATGAAACCGGTTCGCACCCGTGCCGCCGACCGGACCCATTGGCCAACCAGCAGGCACCATCACAGCCCGTCGGGGTCTGCATTTGGTGCAGCGCCCGGGGGTGTCATTGGGGCTGAGCCTGAGCCTCAATGTCTCAACTGTCTGCGAATGAGACTTGTCCTGCGTCCATCACTCTCTTGTCCCGTGCGACTGTCACTCCTTTGTGCTGTGTAGGATCTATCTATCTAAGCCCTCAACCTCCTGGCTACCGTGTCCTGTCCCGGTTTATTGGGGCCGCAGGAATACGATGCCGCACCCAAGGGATACTAGACACAGAGACAGAGCCGGTTTGTGACCAGGGTTTTTTACCCGGTCGGAGGATCCTTTCCCTAATTCCCTCCCCGCCCTGCAGCCCCCTCGCCAAAGTCGCTCGAAGGGCGTGAAATTCCACTTGGGTCAAACTCTATCAAGACACCGAGACGTTCCGGCCTTCATCTGACCACAAATGAGTTTTTAATTAAAACGATACTTGGCGGTCTATGGCCCTAGGAAGAATTCACACAAGTACCAGGGAATTAGATTGAACCCGGTCCGGTCAGATTCAGCAGGAGATTATTTTCTCTGCGACACGGGTGGTATATGGTCGAGGTCGTATTATCTCCGGGGAGAAGCGTCGTATATTCCGGGCGGAGCATAAAGATAACTAGACTATCCGTAAGACTATTGGAATTCCTCATTGCCATTAGTAATGCACGGGACCAACCGGCCCATGTGAAACCTAAAAGTCAATTACCTGCAAACAAGGAAAAATCTCACTTGTGTCCTTTTCCATCCGAAGTTGGCATTTCTAATATCGGGGTCTAGAAGGAGTGAATGGAGGATACTAGGCAACGATTTCGACATCCAAAACCTGCCTACCATATCCTGCCAAGTCAACCCTCAGTTGACTAGGAGACGGACAATTCAATATCTCCAGATCGCACATATCGTACGTACGTACATACCTCCTACCGTTGCAACCTGCTTCGAGTGGGGATGCCAATGGGCGTATGCATACATCAGCCGCGGCGCGCGCGCATCTCTGCCGTATGCAGGCCTCCCCAGGCAGCCGCCGGCGATGACGTCTTGTCAAGGAGTCGATGATGCCTGGTCAGCACTACACAGTAGACTAGTTACAAACTCGCAAGAGTAAAACCAAGCTTTTATTTTCGTCTTCATCTTGACTTACGGAATTGATTCGTGCTGCAGGGTACACCTAGCCTGGGTACAACCAGTCCCTTCCATTCAAATTGACCAGTCTGGCCTTGCGAATGCGAGACAATTGCGCAAATGAACACAATAATAGTAGCAGCCACGATGTGTGATCCCTTTTGCATATGCTCGCTACCCCCCCCTCCCCCCTTTGAACCCTTTCTTCCCGTCCTGTCGAATTGGCGACGGCGATGGTTCCGGCGCTAGGCGAATTACCCGTGGGCTCCGTGCAGGCGCCAGGCAGCCAGGGTTGCGTGGGTTGTCAAGTGCCCATGTTTGTTAGCGGCTATGCCTGCTTGTTGATTTGATCTAGAGGTACATGTAGTATCTCATTCGGTGCTTTGCTCGATATGCAGTGTATAGATGTACTATATGCGAGTGTCTATGGAGGGTTGATTGTGCATGAGCACATACTACTACTACCTCCTGTCACTCTTCTGAGTATATACTCCGAGGAAACACAATGCATAACAGCACAACACAAATGGAACCAATCACCAACATTACCAAACCAAACAAGCAACATAAGCTCTGGCCACCTGTCAGCAGTATACAAGCGCCTGAACTTGCCCTGGCCATAATATTCCACATCTTTCAAGTATAGGGCTATCACCACCACCTTACCTACCTACTAGTTGCATCCCACATCCTAGGCACGACCACCGAATCCACCCAAAGCACAGATCCAAAGCAGCCTCACCATCCTCGATGCCTACAGCACAGCTTGCATGCAGAGTACTTACATAGCTAGTAGTCGTACCTTCCCATTATCATCCAAGACAAATAACCCTATTCCCGAGAGGGATCTAGTACCGCCGCCACCAGATAAACAACCAGGCACCAACATACGCAATGCCTCTAACCCAGCAAGCCACAATGAACTACTATACCATCATATCTTTCAGTCAAGATAACCTAAATCCTCCCATCCAGGAACATTGGTGCCTAAACGTCCATTCATCCCAGGCACCCAGGTTAACCAACTACCCCGCCAAGAGAATGGAACCCTCAAACCCCGAACTTATGTCCTACTAGACATAGTACATTCAACAGTATACACAACCATATTGATTCCATGAAAAGACCAGTTCAGAAACGCTATACTCCACTACAACCCAGCAGGCACCAGCAGAATATCCGAAGGCATCTTCCATTACGTACCTGTAAATCATCACATGACGAGGGTGATGTGCATACGAAGGTTGAAAGCCATCCAAATATACATACACTGAAAGACAGATATATACATTCGAGAGACTAGGCAACAATCAAGACGCACACCGCACACACCCATATTAAAGATAGAAATCACCGGTAGGTATCTCTATTACTAACAAACATGAAAGCTCAGTTGATTATGCACATGTACACATGCGGATGCCTTTTCGATTCTCCGGGTTTGATGGGGTACAGTTCAAATCGACAGTGGTGGTATAAACACCATAGATAACCTGCTTAATAAGGGCACTGGGGGTAAATTGTATTTTCTTGTTGATATATATCTATGGTGCTTTGCTGAGCGTTCGATCTACGTGCGGAGAACCTTATTGGAAAGGAACAGTCAAAGTTTCGACTTTTGCCGCATGCCATGGTTGGATAGTAGATTATGTTGAGTGTAGACTGCCACTTGAGGTAAAAAAGAAAAGACTCCATATGAATGCTCACAGGATTATGTGCATTGCAATGGATAAAAGAGTAAAAAGCAAAAAGGAAATTGAGCTCCGATAGGGGGAATCGAACCCCCGGCTGCCGTGTGAGAGACGGCGATGTTAGCCACTACACCATATCGGATACTTGTTGAAAGGTACTTCATATTATGCCCTTATCAGCAACTATTATTGTAACCGCAAGCTCAAACGTCTATGCACACCTTGTATGATAAGCTTACATTGAAGAGTCCCCACCCCGTACACCAAGTGGACCGCCAGCACGTTACGCCTGTTGCCCAGTACAAAGTGCAACAATCACCCAACTGCTCGGATACACTACTACGAAGGCATCTGAAACAAATATAGTGGGTCATATACTAACAATACGTGGATTCTATTAAGTATTACCTCATGATGCTGTGCCATGTATACATGGCGCTATCAGCACTGTCACCATAGAGTCATGGTAGTCGACGGTTCGGGCCAATTTGAGTGGAGGGAATTTCCCCATCCAGCTGGCAAAAAGCACCCTTCCTCCCAGTAGGGTATCAAGACAAAAGCATCAAACAGCAACATGAGAACATCAAAGAGCAAGCAATAAACAGCAACAAGTGGTATCAATCTAGTTTGGTCGGCGCACAACATGAACACACAAGGCCAGTTGGGTATCCTTGCGGAACGCATATCATAAAGGAATGAAACGCAGCACCGGACACGCAATTGACATCCGGGCTCGGAAATGACCGCCAAAGCAGCAGAGGGTATCATTGACACTCGTTTTGGCAGACCTCGCCTTGCACAGGAGAGGGATACCAGAATGGTGGCAGTGGAAACATCAATTAGACACAAAAACAACAATCATTGGTTTTCTTGGATGAATTTTTTTTCTTTTCTGGGCTTTTTAATTTCCAGAACGACTGATCATCGAGAAGTTCAAGGGTAAGGATACGAACACCGCTGATCCCACCATTTCTCATACTCGACGTCCCTGCGGGAAGCACTTCATGCAGCAGCCTGAACAGGAGTAGAGGTGGCGACATCGACGGGCTTGGACTCCTCCGCGGGAGCAGCCTCAGCGGGCTTAGCGCTCTCCTCAGGAGACTCCTCGACGGTAGCATCCTTGGGGGTAGCCTCAGCCTCAGCGGCCTCCTTAGTCTCCTTGGGCTCGGACTTCACGGCCTTGCTGGGCTTGCGGAAGATGCCACCAAGCTTGTTGCCCTTGGGCTTGGGCTCGCCATCAGCACCCTCGTTGTCGGAGTCACCCTTCTTCTTGCCGAAGTTGCCGAAGAAAGAGGTGCGACGCTTGTCCTTGGGAGTCTCAGCAGCGGGAGACTGAGCGGGAGTGGCGTCCTTGGCAGCCTCAGCCTCAGCGGGAGCAGTCACGCTCTCGGGCTCGATGGGCTTCACAGCGGCCTCCTCAACGGGGTTGTCCAGCTGAGGAGCAGTGCTAGCGACAGCGGTCTCGGCAGGAGCAGTGGCCTCCTTCTCCGACTTCTCGTGAGAGGGGCTGGTGACCTTCTGGAAGAAGTTGCCGAAAAGAGAAGCGCGCTTAGACTTGGGGGCAGGGGTCTCCGCCTTCTTCTCTTCCTTCTCCTCCTTCTCTTCCTTTTCTTCCTTCTTGTCACTGGCTTCAGCAGGAGCAGCTAGGTTGGCGTTAGCATTTGGAACACTCCTGGTATTCATGTACGGTAACATACCCTCAGTGGTCTCAGCGGCAGCAGAAGCCTCAGCAGCAGGGGCCTCAGTAGCAACCTCAGCAGGCTTAGGCTCCTCGGCCTTGTCCTCCTTGTCCTCAGCAGGGGCAGCCTCCTCCTTGGCCTCCTCCTTCTTTCCAAGCAGAGTTCCGAAGATGCTGGCCCTCTTGCGAGACTGAGAGCGGCTCTTGGAGGCAGCCTTGTCCTCCTTCTTGTCCTCGGCGGGGGCCGCCTCCTCCTTAGGCTCAGCCTTCTTAGCGGGCTCGGCAACAGCGGGCTTGCCTGGTGGGTGTTAGTCGCCGAACATTATGCGCTCTTCAACTACGGATGCGACTTACTCAGCTTCTCGAGCTCGGCCTTGTAGCCCTCGCTAGAGGTCACAGCCTCCTTCTCAGCCTTAGCCTCAGCAGCCTTAGCCTCGAGGGCGGCAATCCAGCTGTCACGCTCGGAAGTGCTAGCGGCCTGGAAGGTGTGCTTCTGGCCGTTGACCTTGAAGTGCAGCTCGGTGGAACCTTCCTTGGCAATGTCGGAAACATCAGCCTGGCAAGCGAGTTAGCAACTGGCGCAACATTTATCCGAGTGCCTATTATGTTTACTGACCAGGTTGAAGATACCGGCGGGGGAGGCCTTGTCCTCGGCGCGCTTGGTGAAGAACAGAAGACCCTTGCCGGTCTGGCTGGCCCAAGCGGCGATAGGGTTGGCGATAGCGGCCTTCTCGTTCTGGTGGAAGGCAGACAGCTGCTTAGACTCAACAGCGTCGTCGCTGAAGTAGAAAAAGCGCTTGGCGAAACGGAGGCCCCTGTTTTGTGTCACACACCATTAGTCACTGCATACTATGGGGGTTGTCGCAACAAGTGGAGCCTTACTTGACGAGACCGGGGGCCTTGTAGCCCAGGACACCCTCAGAAGCGGGGGTCACCTCCTCCTGCTTGGGCTCCTCCTTGGGCTGTTCGGCGGGAGTTTCATCGGCCTTGGACTCCTCTGCGGCGGCGGGGGCAGCAGCCTCAGTGGTCTCAGCGGGAGTCTCCTGGGGGGCCTCAGCAGCGGGGGTCTCGGTGGCCGGGGTCTCGGTGGCAGCAGGCGCTTCAGTAGCAGGAGCAACGGCGGGGGCAGCCGCAGGAGTCTCCTCGACAGGCTTCTGGACGTCGGACATGGTGTCGGGTGGTGATTAGACGGGTAATTATAATCAGTAGGGATGGGATTAAATAAGAGCTAGAGAAGCTGGCGAAGCTTCGAAAATAAAGGCGCGCGTCGAGTAGGGTATCTCTTTAAGGGGTATCTCAACAGAAGGAAACAAAAGCTCTCTTTGCGCAAAGCTACAAGAGCTCGGGTATCACAAGGAAGGGGAAAAGGTGGGTGGGAAAAGAAATGAACCCGGCGACGGACAGTCACGATTAGAATGTATATGAAGAGGAGAAGAAGAGGAGGAGAAGAGAAGAAAGAAGCAGAAGAAGAAGAGGAAGGAAGCGACAAGAAAAAGAGGGGAGGGAGAGCAGGAGCAGGGGCCGAAAGGAGGGCGAGGGCGAGGGCGAAAATGAAAGGGTGTGGGCGACGAGGCCTGGTCATTGGCGCATCGTCCCAAACAGGCAGGGAGCTGCAGGGCGGCACTAGAGCCTAGACTGAAAGAGGGTGGGCCTGATACTGGGATGGCCGCTCCAGGGCTAAACTATCCTGGGTTTAGTGTCTAGTCATTTGGATGGTGGTGTGTGTGTGTTCTCTGTGACTTTTTTTTTTTCCTCTTCCTTTTTTTCTTTTGATTTTTTATTTATTTTTCTTTCTAAATATCATATTTGATTTTTATTTTTTCTTCCCTTGCCCTTTTACCTAACAATCAGGGGTTGCCCCCCCCTCATTACCTACTTCGATTGACCCATCATCATCAGACCATTCGACCAAGGAAAATAAAAATAAAATAAGAAAAATTACTACACACACACAGATACATTACCATCTTACCCCTTCACTATGGGGTTCTGTCAATCCAAATCTTTCACTGTGTATCTACACCTTATGTGGTTGAATTATATATGTAGTACTCCGGAGTAGTCTGCAGATCGACGCTCGTACCTTACTGGAAGTTCTGCTCCATAGTGGTTCAACCTTCATGGTAAGGAAGCCCGGAGTAACTCCGTCACAATCAGAATCCCGTTCGAGTGAAAAGGTGTCCATCGATGGAGAAGAGGGCCGGTTATTGGGTCCAAACTATAAATCAGGCCGTCGGGAGGTAATTCACTGGATGAAAAATTTTCTTAACGATGGCTCTTGCGCCGGTGCGAGAGCTCCTACTACTCCCATCGGCCCAATAATAGGTAATAAATCCTCAACCCTTGGCCCCCCCTATGAGGTCAAAGGGCGGTTGAAACCATGGTGAATCGTTCCCCAAGACAGACAACTCCTACGAGAAGCTAGAACTACCTTTCTTGATGACAGGTCACCAGCTCCCCTCCATTCTTAGCTGGCTACCCGCCGTGCAGATTAACGGCTCGCGAGCAGTTGGCCTTAACCGCTGCTGACATGATTACCTTATCATCGGGGATTCCCCATCCAGACAGCTGAAACGAAACTTATCTGAAAGATCAGATGGGACGACAAAAAGAATTTTCAAGGCTAGGAATATTTTATCATATTTTTCCAATTTTTTTTTTTTAATGTTTTAGACTCGAAAGAATTCATGAGACCACTTTTGAAGAATCTATGTTTACCCGTATCACCTGCTCACCGTGTTTGTGGGACCCAAGCCACCCATTCGGTCCTGATCCATGGTCTCCTATTCAGATCATCCTGGTGGGTTTAGCTTGTAGCTGCGCCGTTACACAACCATGGTTGAGTCAGTTCGCTGTTCCAATATTCAGACAAGTGGCATTTTCGCTGCTTCTCCTATTCCTTTACACTTTATCCTTTCATGCCCTGGTGTAGACTATAGGCAGGAGTAAGACAAGTGACTATGGATGGTGTATCAAGTTCAACGCAAATATTGTATGTTTCACATATACAAGTCTCGAAAGCAGGACATTCCCTGCCCAACCTGATCCACAAAGATCTCAAGGCTTCTCCGTAGTCTTCGATTAGTTCCGACTATGGCATGTTAGTGAGCTAGTCAGGTGTTAAGCGCCGGGCTACTGCTAGAATTCCGTGTTTTAGTCTAGTTGAGGTATTCTGCCCGTAGGTTGCAATTTATTAGACGCTCGGTTACCGACCAGTCGTCGTTTTGGTTAACGATGTGCAGGATCTGTTCTGGAGGGAAAATCAATAATTTTTATTATCGTCGTCATCATTATCATCCTCCTCCTTCCCCATCCTCCTGCTCCGATGGCGGCGAACCTGTTTTATCTCAGGTATGGAAGAGGGGGAATACCAGTCCCAGCGGCAATCATGGCAATCCCCATCCATGCGACAGGCAACCCCCTCGTGACAGCCCGACATTGTTGTGAATTCGGGGGCCAACCAGGGGCCAAGGACACCCTCCTTCTCAGCCTACTGCCTTGCCTTATCCGTGAGGATTCTGCGGCCAGTAGTACCTAGCAGATGGACTCGCGTGACAATACCCTGATCATGGCGCCTTCAATTCGACAACCTTGATAGGTCTGCCTCAAGTATCTGTGGCTTTGCGATCCCATCGTCGCATCCTATCTCACAGTCTCACAAGGACCTTTGAACTTTTTTTTCTCTCTTTGGTTCCTTTTTCCAAGCAGAATCTTGCAAGTATTGACTAGCGCGAAAAAGAAAAAAGATCGAAAATTCCATCCCTGCCCAACAAGGTCCATCAGTTCAACTTCCGCTCGTACTTTCGTACTTACTTACTTACGTTAGTAAGGGTAGGATGACTGGATAGCGCCATGGCGGGCGGACGAGCGACCCACATGTACCAACGCTATCATCATCCCCTGTCTCAAGTCACTTCAACTCAACTCCCTAGAAGGTCTGACCAGATGAACAAACAACCACCTCCTACATAACTACTAGTCAAGCCAGCCCTAGAATAAAACGCCTAGTTCCACCTCAGAATCAAGCACATTCCTTGACCAAGCTTCTCCTGACGATGAACCCCATTTCAATCCGGGCTCAAACCTATCCATACTGCACCCGATGAAAACGAAACTCATCCCATTCCCAAACCACAGCACACAATCATAGCTAACCACGGAACCAACAGTTACAGACTAACTTACATTACCGAGTGAGCATCATATGTCAAAGCACCGTCACCATCAGCAACTCGAAGGAAAAGAAGACAACGAGATCGTCACGCATGCTTTCCCTACACACATCCGCCATCAAATCATGATTGTCACTCGCCTATCATATCATACCCGAAATAGGAAATTCATTCAACATTAGAGCCGCCCGTGACTCGGGGGGCCCCGCCCCATAATAGTTACTTCTTCCATCGCAGCACTACCAACCAACTAACCATATACCTACTGTAGAGAGTAGCTGCTTACAATTTCCACCAGGCAGCTCAGTAAGTAATTTACTCTGTACCAGCAGCTCCAATCGACCCAAGCACCTGCAGGGTACTTACTATCCATCCCGCATCAGTTCAAACGCCCCCGACCGACCGACCAACCAACTAGAAGCTTGCAGGAGGAAAGTAGATACTTACAGTAGGTATCTGCGACGGCAAGTGTAAGAAGAAGTGGATCCTAGCTAAACCACTAACTGACCAAGCAAGTAGCACCACCACCACCACCCCCTTTTTCGCCGTTGCGACAATCAACTTGAACGGCACCAACGACTTGCTTATCCCGGACCGCTATTAACCAATCAGACCACCGTCGATCTGATGATCAGGCTTGGCCCGTGTTGCAATGATGGCCGATTTGTCCTCTTTGCTTTTTTTTTTCTCTCTCCTCTTCCCCTCTCCGTCGGCAGTCAGGGTTAGTAGTCAGTTTTAAAGGGTGGTGGAAGATTCCGCCGTTTGAATGATGAGATGAAAAGAGAGCGTTGCAATGCGCGCATCTCATTGCGACTCGACTTAATGCTGATTCCAAAGCTTGTAATTTACACAGCACTCTACAGAGTAAGTAGTACTTAATGTAATCTTAAAAGCTATCAAGATCATCACTGTAATAATCCTATCCCCATAAAAAAATTACATAAGATGGTTAGACTCCTACTACTTAGTTACCAACCAACCCAACCCAACTTCCGCCCCCCAGACGGTACTCCGTAGCAACATGTATTGATTGCGCCATCTTGCATCTCGCTACTTCTCACCATCATACTTATGGAGTAACAGTAGATTATCATCACGCCCACTACCCAAATCATCCAAAATGAAATCAACACACATAAAAATAGATATCCTCTCTGACAAATTAACCACACTGCTTGCTTGCTTGCTTGCTTACCACATCTATCTACATACATCCCTCCGATATACTCCGCATTTGCAACATTTCCCAATCGAAGATAATAATGACGAATATTCCGCCACGGCACACGACACGGGTCTGTCACTGACTCATTGTATCTTAATCTTGGGTTAATCGTATCAGAATGACCTTTCTTCTTCACCCTTCCGATCCATTACGTACTGATCACGGCTGCTAGCGTGAACAATCAATGACAACCGTTGGTTCCCAGTGACTTAAGAGTACGGATATCCAGCCCGAGCGAGCCACATGACTCACCGACTGACTTAATTGACAAACTGTATCTAGCTATAAGCAGTTGATGCTAAATTATAAATACCCAAGGTAGACAGATAAGCAGCGAAATGTATAACGTGACCATCCCCCCTCACTTAAGCCCCACCCATTTTCAGTCGCCGGATGATTTTCGTGGCTGTGAGTAGCAGTAGAAAGAAAGAGAGAGCTGGAGAGAGATGTCGGAAGTACCTGCCGGTGATCATTCGACAGTATTGGTATTTGCCAAGCTACTGAGGATAATAACTACGAATGCCGTGGTTGGTTGTGATGGATAGATTCCAGCTGTTGTTGATGGGGTGTGAGTGGAGGGGCAGCAGGGTCGTCTGACTGACGGATTGATCGGCTCGTGCTTGTCACGCCATTGTTCGATCGATCGTTGTCTGCAATCGCAATTACTTTTTCCTATTGGTGGGCGGAATGCTTTCCATGTACTCCGTGCCACTTGAGGGTGTCTTATGGGCTAGTGGTTGGTGTTGCCGGACCCGAGGACAATGGATATGGTTCGACTTTGCTAGTGGTTCGGTTCATTCCTCGTCGGCGGTCATGCGTTGTGGTGTCGGCTGGTGACAGATCCTCTCATGGGTCTTGAGGGTTGCGTGAGCGCCTACCCTTCTAGTGGTTGTATAATACAATCCCATCTCTGAATATGTAATCAAGAATAATATTCAAACGCATTCCACATTAGGTCATTACATATGCAACAAATGTCCACCCCAAAATGCGATACAGATTATGTGTGGCTTGCCAAGTACAGGACGGCATGAGGTAATCAAGCTGCCGTCGTAAGAACATATCTGGAAGCGGTCAGTTTTGCTCGATTCAAGTATAGTTGGCGTCACTTACGAAGTAATACTGTCCATTCGCTCCGTCGTCAGCTTGAGGCTAACTGTTAGCAGCTCTCGCGCAATCTCTGGCTCACGCTCGCGCATTGTTTGCCATTTCTCCGCAGTCAAGCACCAGCTCACGCAGTCCTGCTCGGCTTTGACGGTTGCTGTCCGTCGCGTTTCGCTGAAGAATGGTAGCTCGCCACAGGGCCGTCCGGCGACAATGATTTCGAAGTATCGTCCTTGAGGCAGCTCATACTCTGCGCGTAACATTCCCGATTCCAGCAGATAAAAGCCTTTCGGAACATCGCCTTCGTGATACAGTACAGTGCCAGCCGCGTAGCTTTCGCGGACGAAATACGTGCAAGCCTTAAACCAAAAATCCTCGTTGCGAGACGTCAATCCCTGGAACGTCTGTAGGAGAAGCGGCAGGGGCTGTCGCATTGCGGACCATGCAGCTGGTTGAACAACCGCCATTTCGTTCTCGTGAAGAGTCGTTCTAGCGGCTTGCTGCAAGTACTGCTGACGAGGTGAACTTACTACCGCATCGCCGAGATGAGACTGACCCTGGGGCGTAGGTACTTCGAGGAAGGCTGACGACTTGTTCTTGCCGTTTAACAAGGCTTCCCTATGGCTGTAAAAGACCTTCAGGTAGTCATTCTCACAGAACTCGAGCGCTGAGTTTAGATCCTCGAAGATCTCAACTCCATTCACGGGCTCGAATAGCCCCACATTCTGGAGGCTTTTTCCAACGTCTCCTCCTACATCGAGGCCCGAGATTGTCATCTGCACATTTCGTTTTCTCAGAATACGGTTGATGCGAGTGAATGCTTCTGCTGCGGAGAAGTCGATGCCATAAACACGGGAGAAGTCCAGAATCAGGAACCTGATGGGGCGTTTGTTGAACGCTTCCTCCTCAATAAGTCCCCTCATGGTGTTTTCCACACTCACGATGGTCCCAAAGAACAGATATCCACCAAGCTTGATGATGAGTGACTGCTGCCCTGCTTCCTTCAGGAAGCTTTGCTGAATAGGCGGGCGCCTGACCGTTGAGCCGGTGAATCTGCCCGAGAAGGTGGCGCGAATGGCGGATTTGCGGGAAGTTTGGACGACAAAGCTTAGACACGCGAGGATGATTCCGACAAGTATACCCACTACGAAGTCCCAAGCACCCATGGTCGCAACGATGATCACAACCTGCAGGATTAGCCAAAGGCTCGTCAGAGGCATACGGATAAAGCTTACCGTCAGATACTCGTGTCGGTGCAATTTGCCCCAAGTATCAACCAAGGCCTCCTGCATCAGCTCGATGCCCAACAGGAATATGAGCGCTCCTACAACCATTACTGGTATGAACCCGACAATAACTGGACCGATGACCATGATTCCTGCAGTAGCAGCTGCAAGCATGACCCCTGCCACACGAGAGTTGCCACCGCTATCAATGAACAGAAGACTGTTTGTATATACAAGGTAGTTCTGGAACAAGTCAGCATTTGATTCGGTGGGAGTCAGAGCACACTCACCTGAATACTTCCAGCGAAGCCAGACAAGGCATTGGTAACACCGTGAGCAATGAGTTCACGGTCGACATTGAGGTTATCTTCGCCGGTAGAGATGCCTAATGCTGGAACATTGATAGGCACGTGAAGTACTCCGAAGAACGTAAGTGCAAACATGGCAGGTATCGTGTCAAGGAATGCAGACCAATCAACAGCAGAGAAATCTAGAGCAGTCAGTGCGACGCACACTCGCTAAGACAAGAAAGTCATCACTCACCATAAAGAGTATAGAAGTGGTACCACGGATTTGACGAAGATGGAGCATCGAATACCCACCCTTTGCCGCGCAAAGAATCCATAGGTACTCTGGCGCTGAACTTCACAATATAGAATACAATCGCCACGCCAATGAAATATCCACCAACCAAGAAGTTGGAACGTAAGAAACGCTTCAAAACAAGAAGACCAACGGCAAGCAACAACGGTGTCGTCCATAGAAATACCGTGTCCAGCTGCATAAGCCTTTCAAGTGTCCCCAAGCTGAAATCGAAAGCTCCCGGTAGTCGAGCAGACACTTCAAGACCTGTGAGCAGCAGGAAGAATCCCACACCACCGATGCATCCAATCAAGATGTGACGTGGGAAGAAACCAATCAGAGCACCCAGCTTACAAGTTCCCATCAAGAAGAAAACCAAACCTGTGAGAACCGAGCTGACCGAGAAGGAGAGAATTGTCGTGGCCAAGACAGCTTGCGGGTTGTCTTGACCCACCCGATTGAGAATGGTGAAGGCCATCTGGTGAAAGAATGGGACAACCTCGATCATCTCACTCCCAATTCCTCCTTTGAAAATGGAGCCCCCACATGAGAAGACCAGCTGTGAAATAATGGTACTGACGTAAAACATCGAGATACCGTCCGAGCCCAAATCAGCAAAGACCGGCTCGCTCAACGGGAAAAGAATCATGCCGTACGAAAGAGCGTCAAGGATATTGAGCAGAAGGCCAAGGAATACCGACGGCAGAAAGCTGAGCGGATAGACAATCCCATCTCGCCATACAGTCTGTCCGTCCCACGACTTCGGATTCGTTAGCGTACAGAAACACATCCTAAGCTTGTGAGCAGCTCCAGGAAGTACATCTGTTTTATTGTTCCCCGTAATGGCTTGGCTTTCAACATCACCAGTCCCTCCATAGCTCTGAAAAGGTCCTGCTTGTACTGTCTTGGGCAACAAAGAGGTCTGCTCGGTAGCAGGCGCACCCCCCGTTGCACCTCCTAGGGAATGATCCTCAGACGCTGCACTCTCGCTTAACTCATCCCAGTTTGAAGCTCTGTCCCGGTGATCTCGATCAGCTTCGGGAATGTCGGGTTTGCGCATTAGCTGTGTTAAGACCGACGAACCGGTGGTGGGGACGGAGGAAGGACCGGGTTCTAGAGTCGTCCTTCCTTGCGCTGCGAAACTGATTGCTGGAGAAGATGGGCGGTTCGGACTTTGGGAGGAGTGGAAAATATCCAAGGAAGGGGGAAGAGTATTCGATTCATGAGATAATGCAAAGGACGCCAGTTCGGCCGTCTGCTCCCTGAGGCCATGGGTTGAATAGTGCGCCGTGTCTAGGTTGTAAAGGTCAGATCTGGATACATCAAGAGATGACAAACTTTTCTCGCGGATCCAAAGTCTGGGAGGAGGTCTCTGTAGCTGCGTACCTGCTGGAGTATGGAATGATCGGTGGTAAAAGGACCGGCTTGGGGTTCGGAAGCTGGTACCACCAGATACCATTGAATCTAACCCTGATGACCGAGGTGGACTGCCATGATTGGCATGTTCCACCGGAATCTCTGTTCTAGCTGAGTCTAGGTCGTCCCCCAAGGGAGAGCAATGAGGGGATAACCCGGATATGCGAAAGTCGCTGCTGTCTCGGGAGCGGAAGACACCCATCGTTGACCGCAAACGGAAGGAAGACTGTGATGAGGGATCACCTCACACAGACAGTCTACCACTGTATTTTCCAGATCACCACCGGGAGGGGGAATTAAGCCCGCAGGCTGTGAAGCTTGTGATCGTTTGGCGACAAAAGAGGCGCGAGGAGGGGAGATGATAGCAGATGACGCAAGAATTTAATCGGCACAGCAGCTGTTGGCATTGCCTTGCGATTGGGGGAGCTGGATGAGGGGAAGAAGGTCAAAGTCAGATGTCAGAAGGGAAAAGAAAAGCAGACTCCTGAAGATGCAGGCCAGAAAGGTCCGGGAGGGACTCAATGAGGCCCAGACATGGCTTCCAGGATCGTTATCAAAGCTCGCGGGCGGAAGTGACTAAAAAAGCCTTATCACGGACAAGACACTACTGTCGCCGGTCCACCATTCTGACGGGCCCGATCTCAACCGGAGGACCTTAGAGGTCTAGGAGCGGTCGCTAGCGGACGAACACGAATTGGTCTTGGGTTAGTTAGTACCTTTGAGAGGGGAAGTTTGTCGTTAGTGTCACAACTTTGCTGCAGGCGAGAGCAAAGGAGCTTGGATGCACGAGTGCCGATGATAGGCCCGATGCTCCCCTCTGCTCAAACACCATTAGGTAAGCACTGCCGCCGCCGTCAACGGTGCTGCAGCTACTGCGAGGCTAGATAGTCTAGATAGATCTATTTGGTGATATATAAATTACTCTACGTAATCAATACGATAATAGCTTCTGCTAATGCGCCACACGTATGCAACTTTGGTCCGATTTTTGAACACAAAGATGAAAAAAAAATGGATCCTTGAAAAAAAGAAAACAACGCTACACAGCATATCCTAGCTAGACCGTCCTTTACTATACTCCGTTCAGAGGCATCAATCATTGGGGTATCATAAGACATAAATTGCATGATCTGAAACTCATCATCCTCCATCAACTCAGACGCTCCAGAAACCCCTGCGCGATTAATCGTTCCACATCCCCTTGCCGCACGTAGAGTTGACTGTTTTTCGTCAAATTGATCACCCTATATGCAATGTCAGCATTCCAACCCGCCGATCAACAATACGCGCGAGGGAAAATATAGAAAATGCCTCACATACCCATACTCAGTCTGAATCTCCCCCGCATCCTTCAAGACTCTCACGTCTATGAAGAGATCCTTCGGGGGCTCCAGGCTTCCCGTAAGATCAATATCTGTCCACTGTCCCTTATACGCCGCCAGAAGATCGCTATATTGTCGGAAGTATTCTTCTTCTTCCGGACTCAACGAACTGTGGTTCCCACTCGCAGTGCCCATCGCTGCATATCCCCCGTTCCCCTGGCCTGATGCACCTGCAGTCCCTTCGTCTGCCGTCGGTAGCTGCTGTTCGAGCAAATCAACGCCGTTCCAGCATAGCTCCTCGAGCTTTTCAGCGCGGACACGGTGGTAGGCAAGAAGACATCGTTTGTTGCGGCGCATGCAGAGATGATCCACTAAGAGGGCACAGGCAACGGCTGGTTCTTGTGACGGATTGAAACTGCCTTCGAATGGACCGAGGAGGTGTGCGACATCACGGTCGAGGTCGCGTACTTCGCGGGCTACGGAACGGACCAATTCGGTTTGGTAGGGAGGGAGATGGGTGAGAGCTTGAGTGCGCTTGGCATGTTGAACCTGTTTATGAGTTTCGTCAGGACGGATTATTCATAAAGCATGGCTCATTAGAAAAGCACATACGAGCTTGTTTCCGTGTTCGCCGTACATGACGATTGGGGACGACCTCAGAGGAATGTTCCGGCTTTCGGGTGATGTACATGCGCCGTTGGCCGTATATGAGAATTGTACTAGTAATAATGTAGACTCGACAAAGATGGATCTCACACTATAAGCATGTAAGCCCGATAAGTTGCTAAGTTTAAAGGTCAATTGTGTCAGGGAAGCGTCGCGCGGATCGCCAGGCCGCGCCCGATCGAAGATCTACACGTGACGGACGGATCGCGTTCCTGCCAAGCCGCCTTTCGACGTGATATATTGAACCCAAACTTGACATCAGCGACAAATTTTTGAAGATGGTTCCTCTCAACATGTTTCTAGATAAGCAGGATCAGACATTCCCCCAGGAGTATGTCTGGAGGCGCCGAAAAAGGGAATGCCCTCTTGACCTCGGTGCTCTGAAATGACCTCAAGCATACCATGCCCCGAAAACCCGACTGATGCTATAGATTGTGAGCCAGTGGAAGTCCCCTTGGTAGTATCGTTCCATTATACACAGCATACCATCTGCCAGAATGTAGATCTATGGAAGAAGCCGAAGCGCGGAAAGATCAAAGATTCATTCTCGTTTTATCTTCAATCCCCTCCCTTCCTCAAACGATAACCAAGGCGCGCATCCAATACTACTTCTCCGCCAGCTGCGGAGATGCTCTCCATTCGTCAGACACCAGACAGAACACGCCACAAGTCAGACATGTGTCGCTCTGCAATTTCCGTTAAAGTTGAAGAAATATTCCATTCTACTGAATCAGGCTATGGTAGAGTAGTGCTTGGTGGAATCATGATATTGCTAAAACGGTGGTCATATGTCGAGAAACTCAGTGGCCCTTGACAATAATCTCCGAGTGTCATTCTCTGACGGCTGTTCAAAATCGAACCCACTACCTGGGTCCTCTGAAGTTAGTATAATGGCACGGAAATTGCGTAAGAAAATAGTAATATGTCCGAGAAATCCTCCAAGACGATTCAAACTAATGCCAATGTAGGCCATCTACAGCCTTAACGGCTTTGTCTGTCGCACAATGTGTCATGAAAAGCCATAGAAGGAGAGAAGCAGTAGCACACAGAAAGGCCCAAAGAGCCTTGGACTGAATTCATCGATAGGATTATTCCGGAAACAACCCCTTTGTTTCTGGGGAGATTTCGATGTAGGAAAGGATAGAATATTCTGAATTTCCCAGAGATATCAGCAGGAAAGGAACTCCTTATATACCCAATTAGAAATGTATCAACACTCTTGTTTAGAGCGGGATACTCATCCTAATCACAGAAATGCGCTGCTACGGACGAAGGCTATGCGCCATCATTGCGCGTCTTCTGGATCATGCAAAGATCCCTAATGTCCTCTGGAACGAGTACATGCTTTCTTACTATGGGGCTTTTATGCAAGAGGCAAGAACTCCATCCCCATAATTATGGAATCAACAATAACTAACAAGCTCAAGCCCCACGACATATCCTTCATCGTCCCCAATAGATTGATCGATGCTGCGTATCGAACTCTCCAAGCTGCGGGGTTCACACCCTGTCCTGAGAGCGATGTCGAAGCTTGCGAACGCTTCCAATGCCCCGAAGACGGAATGATACCAGCAAGACACTTTCATATCGAGAGCTACTGGATTGTTCCCGCGCGTACATACTACTTGAAGCTATACGGGCACGCGGACACCCTTTTCTCGTTTCCGGAACCCACTCTGAATGACCCGTCACGACATAAGAAGTACTACATGTCAACTAGGGATGAACGCCTCCCTACACAAATCGGGCCACTGCACGATGAGACTTTGATGCTATACGTCGAGCTGAATAAAAGAGCATCCGGGGACCCTTACGAGCTGGAAAGATATAAGATCAAGATCCCGAACCTCACCATGCTCATTCACGCTCTCATCCTCTTACGCTGCCGAGACGAGGGCTACAATAGTCACTGTGATGATGATTGGTATCGGATGCTCTCCTCTATCCGTTGGTATGTCATCGAGCGGGGGAAAATGCAGATCGACAGGCTGGAAGCGGTCATCCAGCCGATTTGGGATAAGCTAGAAATACAGTACGGGAATCTTTGGATAAGAGCTCTGCGGAAGAAGCTTAGGAGGGAGGGCGTCCTGCCGCCTCCGTTCGTTGATCGGGCCTGTAGGTGCTTCCGCGAATTGGATGAGTGATTTCTGGCAGTTGTTGAGATGATATAGTCTTGCTTTTGCAGAAAATATTCTAGCCAGCTGGGTCCAGTCCACTAGCCCTCTTCAGCTAATCTAGGATACTAATGGTGACAAACTGAATAGTAGTCTATTCGCTAGGTTGATGTATTCGACTGACACCATATTTGCCAGACTTCAAGCGCCACTAGGGACCAACCCACCAAAAAGAGTCCAAATCTCTCTTACCTAAAGCCTCCAAGAAAGGTAGCAGTAAGTCCCAAATAACAAATACACACCGCCATGAACTGTTCCACACTTCTACCAAGCCATCTGTATGTTTTATTTAGCCCATGCAGAGAGAACTCATTCAAGACTTGAGGAACCAGCTCACATCCAATATATCCAGTGCTAGGACCTTAAGACTCCCACTTCAGATATTTTGCGTTTGCGATAGAAATCTCAGCATCTATTTACTCAGTAGCTCTCCTATATCATGGTAACGATCCGCAAGACAGTCTCCAAAAGCTACCAGCAAATAACCTCGGGGCCAGGAAAGTGAAGGCTCTTCCATGTCCTCACAGAACATGTATCTATTTGAAGAACATGTTTCAGATCTGAAGATACGTAGCAAACAGAAATAGACCATATCTGAAGTATCCAACTACTGAACAAAGACTGTGAGACCTTTATGAAGATTCACAATAGAACAAACGACAAGCTCAAAAGACAAAAACAGGCCCAGGTGATCTTCTAAGACCATTACACAGCCCCCTTTGGCGTAATAATCAACTAACACGAACAAGGTAAAACAAGCTGAAAGAAACCATTCACAGTTCTTTGCTTTGGAGGTACTATTTTGGATGATGGTGTTGAATAGCCGATAACAAAGAGATAGATAAATAGCTGGCAGAAGATGAGGTAAAAGGCATGAATGGGGATATGATGAAAGACTTGTTTGGAATAAGAATAGAGGGGTGAATAAATGTCTAAGAACAGTTGCTTACTGTGTAGAGTGTAATTTTAGGAGCCAGAGAAGCAGTGGGCTGGTGTTTGGTAAGACACATTGAAGAGTCAATTGGATAATTAATGTGATTAGAATCCCTATATTCACTAAGATAGTCCCTGAAAGAAGGAAGAATAGGAAGAATTATTCGATAGCTACAGTTCATGACACAATACAAATGCTATTGATAGACTATTGACACACCGTAAATGATGTCTCAGATATGTCCAGTCCATTAGAAAGAATATCAGAAGGTCCAATGCGTGCCGTTAAAGTTCAGCATACTAGGGACAGCCTCGAAATTCTCAGCACATGATAAGAGACAGTAAAGTCGATTGGATTATGGTGGTATCCTCCTGTTATCATGCAATGCCCAAGTGATCTAATGCATCAAATCCCGTAACTACCATGTAATATGCACAGTAGTGCCAACAAAACTGCCTCCCACAAAGCACATGTCCATATCCATATCCATATCCATATCCATGAAAGTATCCTAAAACATTTCCCATGACCCAAATAAAAAAGCCGAAAGATAGAACCTAGTAAATAGCGCAGCAAAGGCGAACCTAAGACCGATATCACCGACAACAGAGCGCCGGGCCATATTCGATAGAGAATCCCACGCCTTCAACAAGAACGCCGCTCTGAGAGGCAAGAAACAAATAAACAAACTTCCATCCCAGATAAGAAGGAAAAAAGGAAAAAACAAGGTAAGGAAAAACATCAAATAAAATAGTATGTATTAGCATATGAAGTGATGGAGGGTATTTCACTTTGTCTGTTCAACGATTACTGATTCTGAGATGACACTTAGTATGTTGTGCCCTGTTGGTTAATCCAGGTGTCAAAATCGCCACTGGTACCATCAAGGGCAGGGTCGCTCTCTAGGGTGTGTATTCCCTGTGGGTAGGTCGACGCGGGATAAGGGATTGAGTAAGGCGCCAATGAAGACGAGGGAGAGGCGTAGCAGTTGACATTAGAAGAGTCTTGCCACATACTGTGAGAGCTGTCAAAGAGCTGATTCGGGCTCTGGAGCTCGACCTGCAGGGTCAAGAGCTGGGGATCCAGTTGTCCATCACCCGGCAACGAAGTGGACGGTTGAAGAAGATCATGATGTGTAGCACCGGGTAGAGCAGCCAGTGGAGTTGACGAGGATGTAGCATACTGGATTCCGTTCAAACCAGTCTTCTTGAATCGGACATCCTCTACGTGCGGGACGAGACCTGCATGAATCGTTTGATGGAGGTAGTGAGACGGTTCAGAGGAGGGAATCATGCCAGGGTGCGGCCGCCCATGGTTAGCATGCCAGGCAGATGAAGATAGGTAGGCATCCCCAGGCAAGTGTAAACCATGGTCAGCAAAGTCAAACGGAGTCGAGTCCCTACTTTCCCATCCACTACTATCAATTTCCGAAGAGCTCGCGGCACGGGTTTGAAGAAATGCTGAAGTGGATCCAGGAGTGCTGGCCAGTGGACGCACATCTTCGCTCCCAGCTCGTTTCTTCTTATCCTTCGACGGCGAGAACTTGTATCCAGGATGCGCCTTAAGGTGATTACTCTTCTCGATATTCGCCAGAAGCTCGTACTTCTGCCGGATTTCTGGGGATTCAAGCCTCCAGCTGTCACCTGCTGCTTCGGAAACCACTTGGTGATTGTTCTGCGCAAACCATTGCTTTGTCCGGTCCGCATATGCCGATCGATAAAGCATGAAAGAATTCATGGGCCTGGCAACCTTTCCGTTCCTCTTGGCTACCTCTTGGTGACGAACCTCTATTGAACGATTCACCCAACGTTCCATGTCGCGAATAGGGATGTTCGTCAAATGCTTGGTCACTTCACTCAGAGGACCTTCGAGTTCAACTCTCGTGTCCTTCTTATTCCTATTCCTGCGACGCACTCTAGGCGACCTGGCTACCCTTGCCCTTGTCACCTGTCTCTGGGATGGCGGCGAGCTCCACTGTGGTACAGAGTCTGATACTAGGCCCTCGTCTGCAGCAGAAGGGGGCGTGTTGACTTGAAGGCCATTTGTTGCCATCTAAGACACAATCAGTACAAGGGCTCACCTCGGAGGCCTGGAGTATCCAGAACTGACAAGACTTACTGGGGCTTGCATTGACAGGGACCGAGAGTAGTCACCGGAAGAGACGTACTCCGATGATGAAGGAGGAGTGTAGTCCTGGAACAGATTTAGTCTTCAGTATCGAACCTGGAGGGGGTTGGGTGTATTTACCAGAGAGTGAGATCTGTGTTCGTATGAAATCTCCCCAGGCGCACGGTTTCCATGTAACATTGAAGAAGCATAAGGGTTGTGCTGACTATAAGTTTGCTGGAGCGTGCCACAGGAGTTTCGATGAACTTCAGGTGCAGGGTCTCCATCAGTAGAATGAGGTGGGGAAGGCGGTTGACCGCGAATCATTCTCGCCGTAGCAACAGTTGCCATGGCGCGAGAAAGAGCAAATCGGAGTGAATACAATAAAGATGACAAGGACGGAGAATAGTATGTTGTAAATCAACGAGAAATCAAGAGGTGGAGTATCAGAGGTGGGGGCAGAGGGATCTCCAGTTTCCAGGTGTAGGAATAGGCAGGCAGAAGGATGCGATGGCTGGTGTGAGTTGAGTGGATGTCATGCACGCCTAGGCGAGCCAGTAACCCGGAATAGTGGTAAGAGCAGTTGAAATATAGTCCACAGCACAGAAGCTATGCATCTGAAGGGTTTCAACAGGGTTGCGATTCAGCAAAAGCTTACAGAAACCGAGGAAGTATGTGCGGTGGAAATTAGAGGGGAAAAGGACAAGATAGACGGCGGGGAGCTTAGCAATTCGAAACGAATGGCCAGGGGAGAAGAGACGGTAGAAGCTGTTGTCAAAAGGGGGACAATAAGGAACACAGCAGAATAGAAGAGTGAAAGAATAGGAACAGGGACGTGGAAGAGAGGACGGTGAAGTGAAGCCTGTAAGGACAAACAAGTAGAGGCCCGCAACACCAACGACAAGAAGTGAGAGAGGGAGGTGGAGCCCCAGAAGGAAGCGGTAAGAGATGGGGAAAGTCTAGCGATTCGCTCTGGTCTGAACACAAGCCAAAGCAATCCGAGGAGACACAATTGAGAGAAGCTTGATGAGGAACACCTGTTGTTCAGAGGTGAAAGGGAGAAAGGGAAAGGGACAAGGGGAACAGTGTGGAATTCGGGCGGATATCAAGCAGTTTAAGGCGGGATGGATACTGCAGCACGAAGTTCTAGATGGGGATGACTACCATGGAATTCTCAGCGGCTGAAACCCTTGACGGCCGCCTCTGCTGGCCGGCGGTGGTGATTCCCTCGAAGTTGGCACGGGGTTGCTGGATGGCGTTGTCTTTGTTCCGCTGCCTTGGGACCGGAGCCCAGACATGGATGCATTCCCTTTGGCATCCCATCCGCCGATTGATGTGATTTGTTTTCCATTTTATTTTAGTATCTCTTCGCTTGTCTGCTACACTTTTGCTCCTGGGGCACCCATACGTTTATTTTCGGATCCTCCCACTCTTTCTTAATTTCCCCTGTTCATTCTTCTGCGGCGTCTGCTTCTAGATTTCTCTTTGTGCCAAATCTAGGTTTCCTCTACTCTTCCAGAAGAAACAGGAGGGGGAGAGGGGAGGAGGGGGGGAGAACCAGCGGGTTTGAGGCTGTTCAGAGCCTGACTCAGGGAGGTTACTAAATGCGGACATGCAACTACCCAGGCACGGATTGGTTTTTCGTCTCTTATCATGGCATTGAATATTGAGGCGCGGCATTGCTGAGCCATCCCCTCAGTCGCTGGAAGGGATTGCGGAAAATTGAATGGAGAACAGCATGGGTATGATCGGTATTCACATTACGTAGAGGGCATTGGTCCCTAGTGAATCTGGATCGTGGAGCAAACCATACCTCATAATAAGAGAATTATTATTGAATTCTGAATTTCAGAGAGTGGGGAACCAAATCTAACAGCAAAATTAAATAATTAAAAAAACTAGAATAAATAATAATTGGGAAAGAGGGAAAAATAAAATAAGAGAAATTTAATTTAAAAAATTAATAATCATAACAACGAGGGGTGACTGACAGTCTAACGTTCAGGCATTCGTCCCACTCTTTGCCCATCAAGTTATTAGTGCGATCTACTATCTATCCGGGGCCCGGAACTAAAGCAGGCAGTGACACTGGTCGGAATTAGCCCCATGCTCTGAACGTGATAGCCTGCACTGTGTATGTGTTCATATCGAGTAGAAGTTCGCAGCAGTGAAATCCTCCTCATAAATTGTAGGAAGCAGATAGGTTCGTCCTATTCTTCTACGGACATAGAAGGAGCAATTACACGGGACAGGGATAGCAAAGAAGGACTAAGATAGCAAGAGTAGATCGGGAAAGCACAAGGCTAATGGTAGAAGCTACGTAAAAATTCCGAATAGGGAAAAAGGAGGAAAAAAAGATACTCCCAAGCGATTATTGAGATTACCGGCTCGCATGAGAGCACATTGAGACCGTCGGATACTCCTTGTATCCGAGCTTAACTCCATGTTTTAACTCCCCGGATATCGGGTCTCCTCATCCGAGCAGTCTCGAACTACTACTATGAAATGGAGATATTCTTGCAGACATTCATATCGACCAACCGGATCTCAGTATATAAAAATTGGTCGGTCTTCAGCCATGAAGACAGGCAAGAGGAATTGGAGACTAGGCTTGGTTGAACCCGAAAGAGTCAGTCCCAACCAGTAAGCAACCAATCTGTTTCCTGAGAAATCGACATTCACCAGTATTATCATCATCAGCGTCACTACCCCGTCTACATACTTCGGCTCCGAAGAAGAGGAACACGTTCCATGGATCGGTATTCTCTACCTCCTGGGACGTCCACATATGTGTATCTAGACTCTGCTTTCTCCGCATCCGCACATCGCCGAGCAGAGCTTGCGACTCGCCCCTGGGTCATCCAGGTGAAGTCTTGAAGCGCACGTATGTATGTATCTGAAAATGGTAGGTAGCTAGCGCAAATCATGAGCATACTATTGCTTGGCCCATACCCCACAATCAAGCCAGTCGATCGTTCGTGTCTTTTCTTGCTTATCCCTTAGCGAAAACAGCCAGACAACGTTGTTGAGAGGCGGAGATCAGAGGCAAGCGCGCATTAGGCGAACGTTGGGCTACAGGCCCTCTTGGTAAGTCTGAGGTAGCCCACTATAAGATGCTGCGTGACTCGTGAGAGACATCCGTCATGTTGTCGAACCAGTGGATAGTTGATTTGGATGTTGGTTCGGATGCGAGCAGATCCATGTTTGTACTTGGGCCAAAACCAACCCAACCAGAAGGGCGCAGGGCACTCCGTATACATTTTGTGACATCTTCTTGGCTTGGAGAGTGTCATAGCCGTGTAAAAAATGAGTAGCGAGACTTGTTATGGCATCCTAGACCTGTTTTCTACTCAGCGATCGCAATCACATCCCTCTAGAAAATAGGTTTGCGCGGGGATTCGGTTGCCCGACATTCCGATCAGAGATGGGAAATCCCCCCCTCTCTTCCTCCCCTCCAAATTAGACTAAATTAAGAGAGTAGAAAGCGCATGCCGCGAGCATCTCGTAGTATCTGAGACCATGGACCCAAAAATACGCCACACGATTACTATTGGCTTATCCATTGGTCGGGCTGAAGTAGCCGGCAAGCTACGACTGGCTCCAGCAGATCGCTGACCAACGCTAGCGTCATGTATTGAAATGACTAGCCCACTTGGGTAGTTTAAAGCTGGCGGGATCGTGCCGGTAAGGCCGCTGGTGGGGGTCCTGCCTAATACTGCGATTTATCTAGATTTGCGGGCGAACTTCCAGCTAGTCCGGCGTAGTAGTGTGTCGTTCTACCTAGGTTGACACGGGGCTCGCCGCGGAAGGAGAAATGGCTCCAGTGGGGTCGCGGTGGGGAATGTGATGCTTGAATCAGGCAGAACTGTACTCTGTACCTGCGCTATTTTTTATGCGAACGGAAGGCCATAGACACAGATCGTATGTGGATTGCTGCTCAATCAAGTAACCCAAATGAGTAACTATTAACTATGGGTTAGTTATGGGTGCCCACGTCCTAGTGAGTAGGCCGTACCAAAGCTACGTAAGTATCGCGTAGTTTCCCTGCATGCCGTTAGCTTGTTAATGCCAATTCTGACAGGGGGTCTGCATGCAGTACGCTGATGTATGATGGATTGCGGCTTAGCTTGGCTGGCTCAAATGGGATAGCGGCGCATGTTTATTTCCGGCGTTCTGTCAACCCCCTTGTTTGAAAATGGGCCACCCTGATGCTTGGGTCCTCGACGGTCACGTGTGGTACTAGCCCAGCCATCGTTGATGCCCGGGGATTGGAAGACTTCGGGGATTGTCATGTCTGAGGATTGTCATGGCATTCTATCCTCCCATGCATACTGCCTTTGCATTATGTAGTTCCATTATGTTCTGCATTATGCCACTGTGGAAACGGCGTTTCAGCTGCAATTTGAGTAGTTGTAGCATACCAACATTGTATACGGACTGTTGATAGCCGCTGATTGGCACAAGACGTGCAGCAGAGCTGGTGTTATGTGCGGCAGCTACAAGTATCAAAACAACAGTAGCCACACAAAACTCCTCATTCTGTGAGTCGGTTGGACTGGATGAGATTGCAAAGAAGCCCACAGATCGCCCGCTCCCACTGATGGCTGATCCACTTCTCATTGATTCTCCTTCCTTAATCGATCCTCCCCCTTCCCAAGCTCAGTTAGGTTGCCGTGAAATTCCCCCGTTCCAGCTGAAGGGATGATCTGACGACCTCTCCTAGATAGCTAGTATGATCTGCGACTGCCAAAATGGAATTCAAGGTTCTGATGGACCCGCGAAAGCACACACCGATGGCTTTGCGCAGGAACCAAAGTTGCCCGGTGTAAACATTCTTTGTCCGGACTTCCTCGGTTTTCCCTGACTATTCTCGGGCGCAGGAACATTGCTGCTGAAGAAAACCTTAGTGGAAACCATTTCCTTCGTTCCTTGTTCTAGGGAGAGGCCTGAGCGGCGACTTCCTTCTAGAGGCGGATGATCGTATGGAATTCGTCATTGGTCCCATGGGTCGCATGTACGGCCACTTCGTGTAGGCCTTCTGACAGCCCCCTCCCGCTTCCTTGAGCGCAAGTATGGATCGAGTAACATGGGGAAACCATATGTAACTGCTTGGCACCGAATCTGGAGGAAGGGATAACAGCTGAGGTGGCTTGCGCCCGGAGGCTGTCCCCAGACGTTATCATTGAGATCCCGGAGGATTTACCCAATTTGTATGGTTGGTGTCACTTTGGTAACTTCCTGCTTCCAGTTGCAGAAGGGGATTGACACAGGGATCCGATCGGCCTCGCCATGGACCTTCGCAACCATCCACATCATCTACAAGCGTTCGATGGCCTTCTGGAAGGTTAGTA